GGTTGAGGAAAGTCTGGCAAGTGTTATTTTGGAATTGCGTTTCATCATTACTTGCAATTTCCATGGTTTATTATCATATTATATTCATGTCATCTTATATGGTGTACCCATGTCTGAACAAAGATTTTGAGTATTTGTGCACGCATAAAAATAGTCCTTTTCAGTATTTTATACATGTTCACATTACTGTTCTGTACTTGTTAGATTTATAGAATTGTACTGTTTATAGCAGGTATCCTTTATAACTCTTATTTATTTTACCTCGTCGAGGTTAGTTACGATACTTATTGAGTATATTGGGCCGGTTGTACTCATATTACACTCTGCACTCAACTGTGCAGATCCAGGTGTGGGGACTAGTTATCTGCAGTAATTTGGCTTGTTGGACTGATCTTCGAGAGGCGAGGTAGAGTTGCATCCTTAGTCGCAGTTAAACTTGTCTTTTCACATGTACTGTTGTTCCAGTTCAAATAGTATCACTAATTAGTTTAAGACTTATATCCTGTTGTAGAGCTCATGACTTCGTATTTACCAGTTTCTGGGGGATTAATGTTTTATTCGCAGTATTTCGTTACATTAAGGTTTCAGACTTATGTTATTTCTGTAATATCTGTCATTTTGACTCTTTATTGTTAGGATTCGGCTAGCCTAGCCGATGTGTTATGTGCCATCGCGATGGGCTGGGATTTTGGGTCGTGAAAAGATTGGTATCAGAGCCCTAGGTTCATATGTGTTACGAGTCATGAGCATATTTAGTAGAGTCTTACAGATTAGTATAGAGACGTCTATATTTATCTTTGAGAGGCTACCGAACTGTTAGGAAACAACACTTTCTTGTATTTTTGTCGTGGGGATTTGAACTTGACTCTTCTATTGTCTCATAGATGGTGAGGATACGTGCGACCGATCAGGCGGACAACCATTAGCACCACCAGCTAAGGCGGCGAGAGGCCGGGGCTGCAGTAGAGGCCGAGTTATGGCTCGTAGAGCACCCGTGGAGCCACCAGTTGCTCCAGCTCAGGAGCAGGTACCAGATGTGGTTGAGCCGATGGGACCAGCTCAAGCACCATCAGTGTGCATTGTGATTCCTGGTTTTTAGGAGACCTTAGCCAAGATTTGGCTATGTGCACGAGTCTGGCTCAGGCAATCCCAGCTCCAACTGCACCAGCCATTTCATAATTCGGAACAGGTTCCTAGACTCCTACCACCCGCACTCTATAGCAGCTTGTTCAGGGACTCCGCATGTATTGCTAGTTCAGCCGGTTGCTGCCGCTAGGGCCAAGGTTGGTCCCTATATCAGTGGTGAGGAGCAGAAGTGGTTGGAGAGATTTTGGAGGATCAAGCCTCCAGAGTTTAGTAGAGTAGAGTCAGAGGATGCTCAGTATTTTATAGACCAGTGTCCGTAGATTCTTCGCACAATGGGTATTTTTTATACTAGTTGGGTTTCATTCACTACTTTCAGCTTACCAGGGAAGCCTACCGATGGTGGCAGGCTTATGAGCTGAGCAGGCCAGCCGATGCGGCTCCACTTACATGGCATGAGTTCTCAAGTGTCTTCTTAGAGAAGTTTGTCCCATAGACTCACAGAGAGGAGTTACATAGACAGTTCGAGAAGCTATATCAAGAGGGTATGACAGTGACTCGGTATAAGATGAGGTTTCCAGAGTTGGCTCATCACGTGGTATAGTTGGTTCCCATTGAGAGGGAGAATATTAGGAGGTTCATTGATGGCCTCAACTATGGATTCCGCTTCATTATAGCTCGGGAGGTTGCGACGGGTGCGAGGCTTGACGAGGTGGTTGATATTGCTAGATGCTTAGAGCCGGTTCGCAGGCAGGAGCATGAGGAGAGGGACGACAGGAGGCCTCGTAGTGTAGGTGGTTTAAGTAGTGCCTAATTTGGAGGTCAGTCCTATTATAGTAGAGACCGTTCTTCTAGACCCGTTTAGGCAGATCGCAATGTTCCTCGTGGTTCTTAATTTAGACACCGTTCCTATAGTGCCTGCCCAACTCAGCCATCATTTAGTGCGTTGCCGACAAAGAGTTCTTACCATGCTTCGTCTGCATAGGGTTCCATAGGTAGCTATTTAGATCATCAGGGTTAGTAGCTCCATTAGAGGAGGGGTTGTTTTGAGTGTGAGAACATGAGTCATCTCAAGAGGGATTGCCCTAGACTGTTGGGTAGGGCTCCACATCAGAGTTCTCAGCCTATGATTCTAGTACCAACAGCTACACCACCCGTACAGCTAGCTAAGGGTGGGGCCCAGTCAGCTCGAGGCTACCCTTGAGGGGGGGGGGGGGGGTTGATCAGGTGGTGCTCAGGCCCGTTGCTATGTATTTCTAGCCAGGCCAGAGGGAGTTACTTCCGATGTCGTGATCAGAGGTATTGTTTCAGTATGCCACATGGATGCTTCAGTAGTGTATGATCTTGGTTCCACTTATTCATATGTATCATCATACTTTTCTCGTTACATTGATATTCCAGGTGATTCCTTAGTTATGCGTATTTATGTATCTACACCGGTGGGTGATTCTGTTGTTGTTGACCATGGGTATCGGTCATGTGCGGAGACTATTGGGGGATTAGAGACGAGAGTGGATCTTTTACTACTTAGCATGGTTGATTGTGACATGATTTAAGACATGGATTGCTTGTCACCATGTCACGCTATTTTGGATTGTCACGATAAGACTGCGACATTGCTGATGCCTTGATTTCCTAGGGTTGAATGGAGAGGTTCTCTAGACTATGTTCCCAGTAGAGTAATGTCATATATGAAGGCCCAACGGATGTTTGGGAAGGGATGTCTGGCATATTTAGCCCTTGTGAGGGATGTTGGTGCTGATACCCCTACCATTGAGTCTGTTCCGATAGTAAGAGACTTTCCAGATATGTTTCTTGTATACTTGTCGGGCATGCCACCCGACAGGGACATTGATTTTGGTGTTGATCTGGTGCCGGGCGCTCAGCCCATATCTATTCCACCGTATCCTATGGCACCAGGATAGTTGAAGGAAATGAAAGAACAGCTTCAGGAGATACTTGATAAGGGATTCATTAGGTCTAGTGTGTCGCCTTGGGGTGCATCGGTTCTATTTGTGAAGAAGAAGAATGGTACCTTGAAGAATGGGAAGGGGTGCATCGGTTCTAGTGTGTCACCTTGATTAGCCCTATTTAGTGATTCCTGATTCGCATGTGCAATCCGTGTCTTTTTCCGAAAAGTATTTATGTGAAAAACTGAAGAAAATATGAATTTTAGTCTTAGAAATATTTGAGTTGACTACGGTAAACATTTTTTGTAAACGGATGTGGATCGGTATTTTGACGATACTAGTGGGTTTGTATCGTGATTGTAGACTTAGGTGTATGCCCAAAATTAAATTCGGAAGTCCCTAACTTGATTTGACGTGATTTTTTGAAATCTAGTAATTTGGTGGTATAAAGAATTCCGAAGTTTGACCGTAGGTTGGCTTTTATTTCTACCGGTTTTGGATTTTTGTTCCGGAACTTTGTATAGGTCATTTTACTATATAGACTTGTCTACAAAATTTGGTGCAAAATGGAGTTAATTTGATAAGATTCGGATGCTCAGTTGTGAATTTATAGTTCTTGAGTTTCTTTAAAAATTTATGCATTTCGATGTTCAATTTGTAGTTCTAGGTGTTATTTGTGTGTTATGATCGTGGGAGCAAGTTCGTATGATGTTATTACACTTGTGTGCATGTTTGGTTTAGAGCCCGAGGTGCTCGGGTAAATTTCGGATAGGCTACGAATTATTTTGGACTTAAGGAATCTATTGGTTTTTGCTGTTGCTGGTATCTGACTCTTCACAATCGCGAAGGGGAACTTGGAGCTAGAGTGGAATTCTTCATCGAGAACGCGATGGCATGGTCGCAAACATGAAGAGTTGGAGGGCTTACCCTTCGTGAACGCAACCATCCTCTCGCGAACTCGAAGCTTTATGGGATTCTCGAGGGAGGTAGTCAAATACACTACGCGAACGCGAGCCTAGGCTCGCGAAGGCGAAGGCCAGGCAGGACAGGCCATCACGAACGTATAGCGTTTCATGTGAAAGCGAAGGCCACTCGGGCCGCTATTCTTCACGAACGCATAAGGCCCTTCGCGAACACGAGAACGCCTGATGCCCAGTGATTTAAATATCCAAAAGTTGGGATTTATCCCGTTTTTCATCATTTTCATGTTTGAGGTCGGCCTAGAGGTGATTTTGAAAAATTGAGATTTAGACCTGAGGTATTATCTCGTGGTTTATATTAGTACTATGTTAGCGTCATGTGTACAATTATCGCATAATTCTATTCGTGTGTTCTTCGTATATTTGAAAATATTTTCGGTATGCACTTGTGTCTTTCTTAGTTATATTGCATTTCAGAAATTGTACTTGGTAAAATTAGTCAGTAATTACCTAGTTCAAGTTAATTTCAATCTTTTATTGTAGAAATGCAAATTTAATGTTTTTTCTCAATTTGGTTTATCTTCTAATTTCATTTGCACTTATTTCTGTTAGAACATTAAAACTTTTCCAATTAAACTTAAATTTTCAGATTTGGTTGATGTTAATGCATTTGAAAAGATTGATTTTCATTATTAAAACATTCCTATTCAAGTTAAATTTTAAATCTGACCTGAGTTAATTCGAACTCCTAGAAGTTGATGAATTTCTAAAGGCATTAAATTATTTTCCTATTTGAGTTAAATTTAAAGATTCGGATACTTGCTTTGTGTTTCTTGGATTTACATCCACATTTTCTAATCAGAACTTGGTATATTTTAGTAAGTATGATAAAATATTTATTTTTTTAACTTAAAAGTTTAGATTTCTTTGATTGCTTTCATTTATAATATTTGGCTAGAAATTTATTATAATGAAGTCTTGATGTATATAAATAGTCATGGTATTCTATTTCTCATAAGTATCATTTCTTAAAGAAAACTACTCATCAATAAGCTTTTATATTATATTCTTCCTTATAATTTTAGCCATGGAGGGTAAGAAGACTAGAGGGCGACAAAGTATTCCGATGAAAAAAATAGAAAATGAGGACGACCGCTATGTGACATTTTCAAAGCGTCGTTCGGGTCTGTATAAAAAGACCAGCGAACTTGTTAAGCTATGCAATATTGATATTGGAATTGTACTCTTTTCTCCTACCGGTAAGCCTTTTTCATTTTTTCATCCTACATCCGAAGCGATTATTGATCGTTTTCTAAATCCTAATATGCAATTAAGTGAAAGCACTCACCTAGTTGCGGCTCATGTACGACACAAAGTGAATCAACTCAACAATAGGAGAGAATTGTTTGACAACATAAAAGAAGCTACAAGTGCTCAGTCTCTTCCACTTGACAACATGAAAGAAAACGGCCAAAGATACCGGTGGGAGTCAATTGAGCAGTTTAATGCAGATGAAGTAAAAAAGTATGTGTTAGAAAAAATTAACGGAATATGGGGACGAAATAATCAGGCCTTGATAGTGTAGTCATTGTCCTTAAGAAATTTAAGCCTCCCAAATTCGTTGCTGCAGGGATTATGGCAGAATTCCTCCAGGATTCTACAAAGCCTGTGAAATCCGAGTTTCAGCAATTAACTCGAATTTCCCACAAGAACAAAATAGTTGTGAGTTGTAGAAAATAAGTAGAAGAGAAAGAGATGAAAGTTTCAGATGATTTCGTTTTGGAGATGATATAGATTATTATAATGCCTCTAGGAGTCTGTTGGAATTAACAGACTCATCCCTTCATAACAGGCACCTTTTAAAACCAATAGTCACCTTCTTTTGAATTTAACAAAAATTGTTAAAAATGTTTTCTGAAATTATAGGCTAAAACGTTTTTAATTAATCAAATAATGGGTGACTAAAATATTAATTCGGGCTACTTAATTGGCACAAGGCCCAAATGGCCCAAGTGCCCAAGTGCCCAATCTTGACTATTAATAGTATAGCCAAATTTTTGTTTCCCTCCAAAACATCTTTAAAATATTCAAATCATGTAAGACAAAGAAATGCTTTTAAACACTTCTTCCTTTCTTTCTTTTTTCAATGAGGGACAAAGCAACCTCTTCTCAAATACTCCCATCAAAACACTAACTAATATAACAATCCCCCACTTAGTTAGTGATTGATGTTGTTTATAAGATTAATGCGTATAGTAGGTATCTTTCGATTTAAACCTACTACTTGTATAAACTATTCAAGACCTTGTCGAAATTAATGGTTAGAATATGTTCTATTAAACCACAATTCCTATATGACAAGACGGAAAAGCTTTATACACATAAATCGTACCAACTCGACAACTTGTTCACCGTGAGTTTTAGCACCCGATTATGGCCTTGTGCTACTTCCTGAATTCATAAACACTTATCAAGTTTTGTGTTCCAACTTTGATTGAAGCGGCACCACTTCTTGTGTTTACATAGGTGAAGATTTAACCAAATCCTTAACATGGACGTCTTTAGTTCCTAAACCGAAGTTTGCTTCTTCATTAAAAGTATTTTATACTCATCCTCCTTTTCTAGGTACTAATTTCCAGTACCTGCTATCCGCCACAACTATAACTTGTTATTACCTTTTAAATGTGACGACCCGACCCGTCGTCTCATGTGTTATTGCTCCGTTTCCCCCATTTCATGCTTCTTCATGTTTCGTTATCGGTATGTGGTGTGTTAGAGTTGATTTGTATTGGTTTTGGTAAGAAATGAGACACTTAGTCTCATTAAGGAAAGCTTAAATTGGAAAAGTCAACCGAATGTTGACTATTGAGTTAGAGGGCTCGGATGTGATTTCCGGTGATTCGGTTAGCTTCGGGGAATGATTTGTGACTTAGGAGTGCGATTGGAATTGATTTTGGAGGTCCGGTGTAGAATTAGGCTTGAATTGGCGAAGTTAGTATTTTGGCGAATTCCAGTTGATAGGTGAGATTTTGATCCGAGGGTCGGAATGGAATTCCGAGAGTTGCTGTAGCTTCGATATGTGATTTTTGATGTGTGTGCAAAATTTCAGGTTATTCGGACGTCGTTTGGTTGGGTTTTTGATCGAAAGTGCCTTTCGGAAGTTTTTGAAGAACTTAGGCTTGAATCCGATGTGATTTGATGGTTTTAGCGTTGTTTGATGTGTTTTGATGATTGGAACAAGTTTGAATGATGTTATGGATATGTCCGTGCTTTTGGTTGAGGTCCCGGGGGCCTCGGGTGAGTTTCGGGGTGGTTTCGGATCATTTTGGAGAAATTTGATATTGCTGGTTCTGGAGTAATACTGTAGCATCGCAAATGCGAAGGTTATTCTGGGAATTGCGAAAACACTGTAGCTTCGCAAATGCGAAGGTTTTGCTGGGAATTGCGAAAACACTGTAGCTGGGCAGAAGGGTTTTATATTATTTCATCCGCGAAGCTTGGTCCATTTTCCTCCATTGTTGAACATCTTGGGAGCTTTTTGGGAGCAATTGAAGATGGTTTCGACTGGAGTTTGTTGGAGGTAAGTTCCTTGGCCTAAATACTCGAGATTTTGTTAAATTTAACATGGAAATTTGTTGGAATTCATTAAAAGGGGTAAAGCTAGGGCTTGAGTTTTTGATATTTCAAATTGGGATTTGATAGGTCATTTGAGCTCGGATTTGGGAGTTCTTGATATGTATGGACTCGTGGCGAGATGAGGAATCCGGTAATGTAAATTTTGTAATTTTTCGAGAAGCGGGCCCGGGGCTCGGGTTTTGCTAGTTTCGAGATTTCTGCTATTTCTTGGCTGTTTTTGATTGGGTATTGTTCCCTTGGAAGTACTCACTTTACTCCCTGCACCTCGCGTGCAGTTGCAGGTATCGTTCACCCGGTAGCGGGTTATTAGCGGATTGAAGGTATTGTTATTGTAGTTGAGCAAGGTGACCGCCAGCGTTCGCGGCACCGGATGTTGTCTTTTGTTTTTTTTTTAGAAATTCATTTTTGTATAATATTGGCCCTGTAGTTAAATCAGGTTCCTTTAGATGCTCGTGACTTGTGACACCCCGGTAGGGTAGTAATTAACAGTTTCTAATGCCATTAAGTTGTATCTTCTATTCATTTATGTTTAATAATTGTTAGTGAAAGGATTTGGGTTAGTTGGCTGGCCTTGTCTTCACGAGAGGCGCCATCACGACCGGGTATGGGAATCGGGTCATGACAAGTTGGTATCAGAGCCTAGGTTACTAGGTTTCACGAGTCATGAGCAGGTTTAGTAGAGTCTCGCGGATCGGTACGGAGACGTCTGTATTTATCCTCGAGAGGCTGCAGAACCTTTAGGAAAACTTCACCTTCTTGGAATTCTTATCGTGCGTACTTGATTCAGCTTGAAATATAACTCTTGAAATTCCTTCCACACGTCTGTATGCGCACGTGAGCGCTCAGTATTATATGTGCCTTGATGGTTTGTGATTCCCCGATCGAGGGGCGAGATGTAATCTTCGTGAGTATGTTGGGCCAGTCTGGAGGACTTGAGGCCGGATCCTTGCCTATGGCTTGAGCACCGAGGTGCTGATTGTGTGAGCAAGTGTTTTGAACTTATATGTTCAGTATTGCCCCTATTAGCCGGAATGGCGGTTTGGTATTCATGTGATGAGTATGTTAGTACTGCGAGATGTAATTATATGACTTGATAGTGACGAAGAAGTCTGTAGGATAATAGATGAACTGTTAAGTGATTCGACTCCTATTGTGGATTGATGTGTAGCCCGAATTATGGGCGCGTGAAGAACATTGTCGTACCTCTTAGTTGGGAAGTGAAGTGCATTGCATGCAGCGGTATGAGTTCGGACTCAGGAAGACTAATGACTGAGTAGCGTATATGATGGTGAAAGGTATGCTGAAGTACTAAATTGAGGAGAAGCAGGGGTCATCTCCTGCGGAGTGTTCTTGAGTGGTATGGTCCTTACGTGTATGTTAGAAGATCTCATGTGTAATTGAAGGGTATGTGTTGAAATTTAAAAATTCGGGTCGCTTAAGAGAGTGGACTCAGTTGATGTGGGGATAAATGCGAGGGTTATAGAGGATTTTAGTACTAGATGACCTGTGTTTTCACAAACTTGTAGATGATTTGAGTTTAATCTCACTATGACATTGTGGCATCATTGGAGTAAAAGTGTTATGAGTTGTTAAGTGCGTCTTGATATATGGCTTCGAGCCAAGTTGGGGAGGTTGCTGTTGATTAGCTGATTGCACATTTATGTGCATGTTGGTTACGTCTCGAGGTATGCTGGCGAATCGGTTCTAGTTGCAGAAATTGAGCCGAGGATGGGTGAGTGAAGTAAAATTTTGACAAAGGTTATATTATGTTCCATAGGGTATGAGAATTTTGGAATGTCTAGAGTTGTTGTTGGTAAAGAATGCTTGGTGCATAGAGCAGGAAGTTGCTTGGTTGTATTGGGATGAGGTTCTCATTTTACGGTATCGGAGTGTCAATAAAGCACGAGTGGTTCTATTCGTTAAATCAGGTAAATTGAAGATGAATAAGAGTGAATGACTCTCGAGAATGGTTTTAATGTGTTCAAGAATCTACATGTAACACTCAGGTGTTTTAAGGTGGTGCATGTGACTAAAGACAATGTTTTCAATAGAAAATGTCAAGACTTGTGGTATTTTTACGTTGATCATGGGATCCTATGTGTCGATGCCTAGAGTAAAGGAAGCGAATTTAGATTCGCAGAAAGTTCTCAGAGTGAAGTATTCTGGAATGTGGTATTTCTGGGAAACAATTGAGAGAGTATTCAGTGGCCTATGGGTCTTAGACAGTGTGGTCTTATGTTCGAGTCTCGTGTGGTAAGCTTGGGGTTGAGGCATTGTAATGCTACAGCGAGGGAGAAATATCAAGTGGATGATGAATAAAAAAAAGGGAAATTAGATAGATGGAATAGCTTGGTAGTAGACCGAATCGGTATGGTAAGGATGTGATTAATTCGTCGTATGTGTTCGCGGTAATGGGCTTTTACAGGTATTGTGCAGCAAGGCTCTTGAGTTCTGACAGCTTGCTTAGCTTGGTTCGGGTAGAAGGATTCAGTCCTGGCAGTTTAACTTGTGCAATGGAATTGGGGGAGAGTTCTTGATAAGTTTTACCGTGGTTTAGAGACGTATAAATTGCCTATGGGCATGCGATGCATGGAATGTGCAATGATTTCTCTTCTTGATGGGATTGATGGAGAGTTCTTGACTAGTGGAGTACGTAGATGTTTGTGGTTAGGAAGGGAGATGGAGTTCTCATGTTATACTAGTGTGGTATGGTATATGCGATATCTGGTGGAGGATTGGGATTTGTGTGTGCAAGGTTACGGTTCTGTTCATAATGGAAAGTCATAAAATTCTTAAGCAGCACGGGCAGCTGCAGGTGATTTAAGAATCGATCTTCAAATGATTAAGGAAAATGGTACTGTTATTCTAGTGAGTTGAGGGGGGTAGATGTTCAGAAAAAGGGGAAGGTGATGTAAACTGATAATACTTCGGTAGTATTGCGGCATTTTCTTGTTGGATCGACTGTTGATATTTGAGTTTGTTGATGGCACAGGGAAATTTTAGAATATCTCTCGTGGAATGGATGGGTACTTGATGTGTGATAGGTATTCATACGGCAGAATTTCGGATCAAGTACAGTGATTCGTGTGCTATATGG